AACATCAGCCTGCAGGCTGGCTCCAACATAGACCCTAAACATTTTGTTTACATATTTTTGAAAAAAAAAATTATTTTTAACTTAATATTTCAGCAAACTAGAAACTTACTTTATTCTTTGAAGCTTTATTTCACACTTAGCACCCAGTGAAAATTGGGGTTTGTGCTAACAAAACATGTTTCCCCTCTCCTAAAGCTTGTGTCGCTTCTCCCTGCTGATAACCAAAAATAACACATAATTAATATTCCACTTGTTCAATATCCAGGGGCCAAGAGGTCTAGATGGGCTTCCAGGAGAACCAGGAGCACAAGGCATTAAGGTGAGTGCTTGCATTGCTCAGTGCTATAAAAACATTGAGATAGACCATGGCAGATAACAAAACCAACCAACCAACCAACCCAGCATGGCAGAAGCCATAAAGCCCCCTTTAATCCAGGAGCTCTGCAAATCTCCACCTTCTTCAGGTACTTCCTTATCATGGTGTAAGCCTGGACCTGCACTTTCTGCAGAGTTACCCAGCGTTTAAACTGATAGCAACTGCATGCAGCTTATCCAGCAAATACATACAAAATTAATGCATTGTTGGTTATTTATCAGGGAGAAAGAGGCGATCCAGGAAAGAGAGGATTTCCTGGGCTCATTGTGAGTATTGGAGCCAGTCTTTGGAGTAAGCCCTAACACAGTTATTGCTAATTGCTGAGCTGTGTTTGGAAATTACCTGAAGCCAGCATTGCCTTTCAATATTTCTCTTTGGCCAGGGTAAAGCTGGAAATCCAGGAGAAAGAGGAGACCAGGGTGCACTCGTGAGTATGAAATTCTCTAGTACTTCTACCAAAAAAAGTCCACAAAATCTCGTATTTTGTTTCACACTTGAATATGAGGAAATTTGTCGACTTTAGAGCATCTGGAGAACTCTAGCAGTGCAGTTTGTGTTTATTCATGCAGAGAATCAGGGGCAGATGGGAGTGTGAACAGGGTCTGGTCTGCTACAAGACCATGGACGATGGTCCACAGAACCAGTATGACAGCAAATTGCAGCTGTATTTAGTGGGGTCCTAGGAGTTGCTTTGGTGTTTTGGGGTGGTTTTTTTTCAGTTTTACTGTGGTTTTAAGGGAGAAAGTCATTGTGATATAGAAAAATAATTATTTGATAGATTTTAGAGTGATTGTGTACCATCAATATTGGGATAAATGTAGGAAAATATGTAAAGTATATCACATGGATAGGAAAAAATTCCTCTTTTTAAGGCTTCTTTCAATGAAAATCCCACATGTTCTGTTTGAGGCTTTTTTCTACAAAGAATGCTGTTAGTCAGTCCAAACTGTACTCTATTTTCAATAAAGGAGGAATCAGAAAAGCAGAAACAAAGCAGTACTGATGGAAATTTGGTGCTGCAATTGAGACTCAAAATGTTGGTTATCACTGTTCCTCTCTTTCCTCTTCTGCTCAAATTTAGGAGCTTGTTGCCTCTCGCCTTTGACATGATGGGTTTTCATTTCCTGTTTATTCACTTTTAGATGTGTTTATATTTACAGAAATGAATGAAGCAAAACCTCATTAGGTTGAAACTATAGGATTAGTCCGTTTATTGTGAGGTAGAACATACTGCTCTATCATTCTTAAAGCCACAGTTTCTAGAAGAGAGACAGACATACGCTGTAAGCCAGGTTGAGTAGAAAGAAAAGCAGCCCGTGAACCTTACTGCTCACCTTAAATACAGTTTTTAGAGCAGGATGCTCATACATTGTGTGCGGGCCCAGTTTGTGCCCACAGGCAGCACTTGAGTCTAAGGAGAGTGATGTGGAGAAGTGGTGGGTCAGCTCAGAACAGCCCCTATGGGAAAGAAACAGAGGAAGGATTTATTTGGGTCTCCTCCACCTGCAATGGGCGCTGGTGATGTGGCCATGCACATCGACCAGGAGAAAAGGCTGCGCGTATTTCTTGGGTATTTCTGAGCCAGTTATGGAGTGAGCAGAATTGAGAGAGGAAGTGGCTTTTCACAGAATATGAAACAGCTTGTTTCCAATGGTTTTTATTTTATTTTAATATTCCAGGGTTTGCTTGGGCCTCCCGGAACCACAGGAGACAGGGGACCAATAGGAGAGCCAGTAAGTTGATCCTTATGCCTTTTTCCACACATCATGCTGAATTCCCTAGTAACTCAAGCTCTGTTTGACCAAGGTTCCGTGTTGCCAACTGTGGTTAGATAGGAATTGTGGGGTGACTGTTCCAAAACTGTAGGGCTCGAGTCTGCCTCCCTTGTGTAACGTAATTTGTTCGTAAGGAGTCCAGTTACCCGTGTTGGGAAGCAATGTAGTAAGGGGTGCACAGCATAAGGGATCACGACAGATTCTGGACCACAGTATTTTGTGGCTTTATGCTATATTGACGTAAACATCTACATTATGGTTTATGTAAACGTATGCACCAGCACACATATTAGTAGTACTTTTTCAAGGCAAATTTTAGGATAGTTACTCAGGAATTCAAGGACCACATCTACTTGGCAGGTTAAATTTTCCACAAAAAAAGAGGCTGTTATAACAAACCTCAAGCATTCTTCTGCTGGATGGTGTCTTGTTCTGTTTGTTATTATTTCAAAGCCACACTCACTTTTATGTGGCTAATATTGTAACAAGAGATCGTGCAGAATCTGCAGCAAATGAATGCAAAGTTCTGCAAGTTATAGCCCTGACAGGAATACTCTTGCATCACCACCTCTTGGGGTAAATCAGATTATGTGAGTACAGTGACAGAGCGTGCGCTGTCCTAGGGGAACCTGGGAGAAGGCTCCCATCTTACAGTGCAGAAATCCAATAGAGTTGTCAAAAATTGTGTGTTTTCACTGCTGCTGAAAAGTTATTTTGCACATCTAATGACATACAACTAATTTAAATTTTGAAAGTGAACTATTGATATAAAGTGTATTATTTCTACTTATTATCATTATTTCCAATATTATTTCTACTAATCCATAGGCTGATGTGCTTACAGAAAGCCGTTGCATGTTTTTAAGGGCTAGAAAAGTACCAACTTTTATTTTGGCAAATGTTCTGATATCATTGCCTGCTTAACTTGATCTGCAAACTTGTAGAGCTGCGTAATGTTTCAAAAGAAAACATATATTCTAATGGTAATTCCTGTCACTTCATCTTTTTCATTTATTCTATCTAATCTTCATGTTGTGATGTTTCAGAGCCTTACAATGCAAGGCTTATACATA